GAAAAGAGCCAGAAAGGGCTGTAGCTTAAAAAAAAAAAAAAAAATTTTTTAAAAATTCACTGAAGAAGCGGTGGTGTATGTTGGCAAAGAGAAGTGCAGAGTTGAGGGGAGGGAGAATTTATAGTAGAGGAAGTTGGTGTGAAGTTTTCCTTTAAAGATGCCCAGCAGAGCAAAGAAGGAATGAAGGCAAAGGCCACTGGGAATAAGGTAGGGCTGGAGCTCAAATAGCACAGGAGAAAGCAACTGGGCTCCAAGTGGATTTTTTTTTTTAATTAACTGACCCAGATTTTCTTGTTTGGGGCCAAAGGCAACTGCAGGGTTTAAGAATCTTAAAAATAAATTATAAAGATCCTAATCCTTATAATTGCCATTGGCCCAAGATAACGTAAATTATAAAGATCATAATAGAATTAGAATGAGTTTCTGAGAAAAATATCAAATATCATTTTAGAAGAGAAACTGGACTTTATTGCTATGCTGTAGAAATACTGTCATGAATAAGCCTGCTTTAGGTCCTAGCCACTTTGGCTCAGTGCATAGAGCGCAGGCTGGGGACTGATGAGTCCCGGGTTCAATTCTGGTCAAGGGCACATGCCTGGTTGTGGTCTTGATCCCCAGTAGGGGGCCCCGTGCAGGAGGCAGCCAATTAATGATTCTCTCTCATCATTGATGTTTCTATCTCTATCCTCCCTCCCTTCCTATTTGAAATCAATATATATATATATTTTTTTTAAATATATTTTATTGATTTTTTTACAGAGAGGAAGAGAGAGGGATAGAGAGTTAGAAACATCGATAAGAGAGAATCATCAATCAGCTGCCTCTTGCACACCCCCTACTGGGGATGTATTCGCAACCATGGTACATGCCCTTGACCGGAATCAAACCAGGGACCTTCCAGTCCACAGGCTCTATCCACTGAGCCAAACCGGTTTCAGCTATTTTTTTTTTAACCTGCTTTTGCTTTCTCTCTTTATCAGCCACAGGGTAAATATAGAAACTTTGTAGCTACATACAAAGACACAGAAGATAGTATGTAGCCTAACATATATGGTAAAGATGAGTTACTTGTCTTTGTACATTGCAACCCAGTGCCTACATCCCAAGAAGTGTTTTACTTGGTTCAGGATACACATGGCAGGTTAAAAGAATGAACAGGAAAAAAAATTAAGGTTAAAAACAATGACCATAATATGAGGGAGAGGAAAACTAGAAGGGCTATGCTACTGATATAGAAAATAGAGACATTAAAAACATGGAATTCAGTCAAGTCAGCGAGGGGGAAATGGAGGCAAGACAAAGGAAGACTCAACACTATATAACATCTTGATATATTGAGTCAAAATTTTCAATTATTAAAAAAATTCAACAGATTTGAATTGTTTGATATAGTCATGTAATTTAAAATAACTATAAAAAGTTGCAAATCAATGTCTATTTTTTTTTAAAACGAAGACTTAATGGCAGGCAATAAAGCTAGATTCAAATCACCTTGCCTTTAAGCCACTCACTACTCTTCCTACTCAGGGAACAAAACCAAATTCCTCACACCTGCATTCAGAGCCTTCCGTGGGCCGGGCTGGCCTGACTCAGAAGTTGAGCATTGACCTATGAACCAGGAGGTCACCACTGGATTCCTGGTAGGTGCACATACTGATCAGTGATTCTCTCTCATCATTGATGTTCCTATCTCCTTCTCTGAAATCAATAAAAGTGTGTGTGTATGTGTGTGTTAAGCCTTTAATGACCTAGCCACAGCTGTACCCAAACAACCTTAACTCCCCTGCTCCCTAAACCGGCTCCTCACTCCCCGGTGCACAGGCCTCCTGACCAATCTTCTCTCCCTAGGGGTTGGCCATCCCACCTGCCTACCTGACATGGCAGTCTCCCTCCGCCTACAGGCTCTGGCTGCCCAAGGCCCACACTGGCGAGGGGCCTTCCTGCAGCCAGCCCTGCAGCCAGCCTGTCCTCACTGCGTCTCCGCAGCCCTGCAACCCTCCCTTCCTTCCCGGGCCTCCCGGCGCCGATTCTCCAGTTTGCCCGGGCCCCTTCCCTCCCCACGCGAGGGCCTTCTCCCTGCTCCAGGCCCTTCTCCCAGGGGCTCGCCCTGCCTGCCTCCGCTCGGGCACAAGGTCTGCACTCGGCCTCTCTTAGGACTTTCCCACCTGGGGCGAAACCAGACCCTGGCCGTCCAGCACCCCCTCCCCACTCCTCACTTCTCACCGCCCTCCCGGGGCTCCCCGCAGCCCCCCTCTGGAACGCCGGTTCCCCAAACCTCCCCGCGGTCGGCCGCAGCCAACCCTTCCTGTCCGGCCCGGGCGGCGGGGGTCAGCGGTGACTCACCGGAGGGGAGGGCTGGCCGGCGCTGGGGGCCGGAATGCGCTCACTTCCTCGCCGCGCACCTGCCCGGCGCTGCTGGAGCGCCGCCCGGCCGGGCCTCCGGCGGATGTTTTCTGTCCCCGCGCCGGCGGCCGCGCCAACCCCGGCGCCCCCTCACCTGGCACCTCCGGGGCCGCAGGAATCACGGGGTTGAGCCCTAATTGCTAACACTCCTACACACACACACACACACACACACACACACACACACACACACACCCTCAGAAGCTGGGCCTCCAGCCCCAAGAACCTACACAGATGCGCACGCAACACACCCCAATAGACATGCAAATGGATTCAACCGACACCTCCCCCGCCACTCTCCCACTCTGGGAGAGGGATCTTGGCTCAGCCCCAACCTTTCTTCCCAGAAGAGCCCCCTACTCCTACATCTTCAGTACTCAGTTCTCACTTCGGTCCCCCTGACCCCCCATCAATGCCAGTCCCCACGGGGTCCCCTGTCGCCTTCCAGCATCACCGCCACCACCTGCATGCTCTCTAGCTCTCCTCTAGTGCAGCCCCGGTTAGGCTGGCTCCAGGCTGCAGAAGCAGAAGGTAGTCTATGGCCCAGCCTTCAGGTGTCAGCTAGTGTCCCTCCCGCAGAAAGCAGCAGCAGAGCGCCTGCCCTCTGACCAGGCTGCTGGGCCCCGTGGTAGGCAGGCCTCCTGATGCACCTGCTCCAGCCAAGGCCATGCCTCCCACATGGCAGCCTACATCAGGGCACCCTGCTTCAACCAGGAGGTTCCTCCGCTCTCAGCACTGAGAGGGAAGTGGAAAGGCCATCAGCCCCGGTGAGGGTGAACGTGTGGTACTGTCTGCATCTCCTTCCATTAAGCTGTCTCCTCGGGAGAGGGCAGAGAGGGAGTTTGAGGTGGGCTGAGGAGTTGCTTTTGAATAGTAAAGAGGTGAGAGGCAGGGTAACTTTCTATAAAAGTCAGCCAGAGTCTCGGAGTAGATGAAACTGGAGACTTGGATGGAAAATAAAATACATGCCAAAGTGATTGGCCCTGCAGGTAGGAGGGGAGTACCTGGAATAGGAGCCTGTGGGGTGTAGAAAGATGAAAGAAATCTAGGTTAGCCAGAGGACATTAGTACCAAAGAGATAGCCAGCATTAGAGTGATCAGAAAGGAGAAACGTGAGAGTTTGCATGAGTGAGGATGGAAATGGATCAAAATCCATACGAAAAAGCAGGAGGACTAAGTAAGCTGGTAGGATAAGAAAACATCTCTTCCCAGGGCAGAAGTGAGGTACTGGCCCAGGGAAAAGTTTTATCAGCAACACTGGTGCTCAAACCAAACACTGAGAATCTCAAAGATACAAAGACCAAAACCAGAATGCTCCTGGAGGTAGTTTTTGAAGGAGGTGGTAGGGATGACATGGAGCATGAGTGTGAAAGGGACACAAGTCAATGTCATTTAGAGGAATATCTACCCATCTTGTCTCTGAGCTCTAGTACCATCCTCAGCAGCTAATATTTTCTGAGGGCTATGTGCTGGGGACAGATAACATGCATGATCTCATCTAATATTCTTAGCAACCCTATGAGTAGTTCTATCCCAATTTGTAGATAAGGAAACAGGTTTCCAAGAGGTGAAGTAACTTGCCCAAAGTCACATAGTTCTTAAGTGGAGTCAGGATCTGAATCCGAGTAGTCTGACCCTGCAGCCTTTGCTCTTAATCACCCATCTTGGGTTCTCCACACCCGCAGGAAACCCAAAAGAGGATGTCCAGGGATGAATCCCTAAGTCCTCACTCCGTAACATACAGGAAACTGGGGTGGCTCCTACGTTGGAGCATTCGGAGGACATGTTGGGATGGAAAGAACCATCCCAGTCGGGGAGATGGCGTCTCTGCTGTACGCTTGGGTGATGAACAATGGAGAACCCATCTCTGGATGCCTGTGGGAAAGAGACAACCTCCCCTTTGACCCCCATCTCTGAGGGGCAGCCATGTCTCTAGGATACTTCAGGGGGACCCTGCCCTAGGGTCTGAGAGAAACATGCTCCGCTCCAGGTGCCTGTTTGCTCTCCTGGAGCCTCTGGCCGTCGCACCCTACAGCAGCTCCTCGGTTTGGCTGGGGCACAGGATTAGCCATCCCCAGGAAATGCCTCCCTCCGGTCCAGGCAGGGATCCCAGCACATCCACCCCTGGAGAGAGTGTGTGTGGTATTGTGGGGTGGGGTGGGAGATGGTGGAATGCTTCCTTCTCTCCAGGTCAGAGAAGAGATCTGGGGACCACCTGGGGGCCCTCACCCCTCCCACCTCCTTGTTGGGGGAGTGCCCAGTCCGGTGCCCCTTCCATGGCCACCTCCCTCCCCCTAGCTGTGCAGGGGCATGAATCAGCTCTCACAGCTTGTTAAAGCTGGACCTCTTGTTTTCATGCCCTCACCCCAGGAAACAGAGTTACAGCTTTTCCAGCTCTACTCAGCAGGGGGCCAGGGTCCTCACTTTATAAACATCTCCAAGCCTGTGAGAGCAGAGGGCACGGAGATGGTGTGAGACAGGAGCCCAGGAGAAAAGACGGACACGAACACTCGAGGAGAGAAACAAAGAAAAGCCAAGGAGACAAGACCGGAGTAGCCTGACAAGCCAAGAGGGTCCCAAAGGGCTGTGCTCCAGGAATGGCCCTCAGGATGCTCTGGGGTGGACAGGCGAAGAGGATCCCGAGAGGCTGGGGGATCATCTGCTTGGTGATCTCTCTGCTCCTTCAGCACCCAGGAGTCCACAGCAAATGCTACTTCCAAGCTCAAGGTAACGCTGGGTGAGGCATTGGGAAAGGAAAAGGAGCAGAGGGCCTTCACTGGGTGGAGGGGGGCTCAGAGATGATCGGGGTCACGCAGAAGCAGGAAAGACTAAACATAAAAGACTAAATCATCTCTTACCCCAGGATGATTCCGACTGCTGCCACCGCCCCCCTATATGCTACCATTTCCTGTTCTTCCCTAGCCCCCTGCCACTATGAGGGGAAATATTTCACCCTGGGCGAGTCCTGGCTCCGCAAGGACTGCTTCCACTGCACCTGTCTGCATCCTGTCGGTGTGGGCTGCTGCGACACGTGAGTGACCGTAAATGGCCAGGGAGAGTGGCTCTGATGTGAGAGAGGGCCGGGGCATGGTCACTAGATTCTGTCGTGCTAGCGTGAACAGAATAGCAGTATGATGCTGGCTGAACCTGAAGGTAACAGTAAGAGTGTGAGAGAGAAAGCTTCAGGCTACACAGTGAGGGAGGCAGGGGTGTGTCTAGAAGGAAAATATTGCTGCTATGAAATAAAAGTAAATCCAGTTATGGCAGTGAGAATTTAGTTGGGGGGAACAGCGGGATCCTGAGGGGAGCTCTGGGAGGACTGCGGGGAGGAAGGGGATGCGGGAGGGGGAGGTGGCCCTTCACTGTGCTGACTCCTCCCCAATCCTTTGGGTCCCCAGGTCCCAGCATCCCATCGACTTCCCTGCTGAGTGCGAGGTCCGGCAGGAGGCGGGAACCTGCCAGTTCTCCCTGGTGCAGAAATCTGACCCTCGGCTGCCCTGCAAAGGGGGAGGGCCTGACCCAGAGTGGGGCTCGGCTAACACCCCCGTTCCCGGGGCTCCTGCTCCCCACTCCGGCTAATCTCAACCGATCTCCCTTCTGCTGACTGCCCACTGCTGCTGCCACTTCCAGGGAAACCACTAGCAGCTGCCAATTTATTCCGAATAAATAAATTAATGCTACAGCTGAACGCCTGCTTCTCATTGTCCGTGCCACTGGGCCCCCATTGGTGGGGCAAATGGGCCCTACTAGAGTCCAGGTGCCGAGTTCTGAGGATCCTGAAGGAAGGAGTGCTGCGGTGGGCCGGTCAGATGGTTATGCTGCTGGTGCTGGGGCCCGGGGCTGCATACGAGGCCAAGGTCGGGCTTGTGGGCAGCACCTTGATGGGGAGGTCCCAGCTGAAGGTGTCCACAGGCACTTGCTCGGGCCCTGTCCAGGTGACAGGCTCGGGCTGTTCCACAGGAGGCAGGAGCTCCAAACCTGGTTCTCGGGATGTTACAAATTCAAAATGCAATCGCCACTTCAGGGACACTGGAATAAAGACATAGACGGGGGCATTGGAAGCTAGAATTAAAAGCCAATGACAGGGTATGATTAGCATATTAGCAAAAACCTGTATTTGGGAGGAGGGGAGAAATCACAGGACAGGGAGCTAGGATCGAGAGTTGTTTTTTTTGTGTGTGTGTTTGTTTGTTTTTAATAATCCAGTGTGTGATTACTAGATTACTTCAAAACGTGACAATAAGGACAATAAGGACAATAAGGACAGCAATGTCAAGAATCTAATAGCCCAAATGTGAGACAGTCAAGATTTGATAGCCTAAAGCTGTGGTCGACAAACTATGGCTCTTTTGGCCCCTTGAATGTGGCTCTTCCACAAAATACCACGGCCTGGGTGAGTCTATTTTGAAGAAGTGGCGATAGCAAAGTTTAAGTTTTAAAAATATGGCTCTCGCCGAAACCGGTTTGGCTCAATGGATAGAGCGACGGCTTGGGGACTGAAGGGTCCCGGGTTCGATTCCGGTCAAGGGCATGTACCTTGGTTGCGGGCATGTCCCCAGTAGGGGGTGTGCAAGAGGCAGCTGATCCATGACTCTCTCTCATCGACGTTTCTAGCTCTCTATCTCTCTCCCTTCCTATCTGTACAAAATCAATAAAATATATTTAAAAAAAAATTTTGGCTCTCAAAAGAAATTTCAATCATTGTCCTGTTGATATTTGGCTCTGTTGCCGGCCCCTTGAGGGTTCTAACGCCACTTCTTCAAAATAGGCCGAAAACCGACTTCTGGGCATGGGCCACAAAGCTTCAATCGCACTGTATGCGCGCCTGCACGTGGTATTTTGTGGGAAGCCACACTCAAGGGGCCAAAGAGCCGCATGTGGCTCGAGAGCCGCGGCTTGCCGACCACTGGGCTAGGGACTCAGCAGTCAGTGAATCACAGGTCCCTGTGAGAATGGGTAGGGATGGAGAGCTCCAAAGCGGTTCAGTGTTTAGGGGTCAGTGCATCTAGGAAACAGGTTGAAGAGCTCAGAGTGTCAAGGGCCAGACATTGGATGCAGGGTGTGTCTGAGTGTTGGGAATCAGGATCCGTCACATTGTACCCAAGAACAGTATTTTGCTCCCTCTCCCCACTCCGACAGTGGTCAGGGTCTCACCGATGGCGGTGCAGAAGCCTGGGGTGGAGCTGAGAGGGATGGGGAGGGAGAAGCTGGTTCTGGTCGTATGGAGGCAGGACTCCTGGTGCCGGGCGTGAGTCACGTGGGACACTGAGGGGGCGCCCCCTGCCCCCCGGCGCCGCTGGTACTCAGGCTGCACGCGCTCCTCGGTCTGCAAACTCACTGAAAACTGGGAGCGAGAGAAGTGTGTGCCAGCGGGCACTGGGAACTGCCGGCCCCAGGTGAGAGGGCAGCCCACCCTCAACCTGCTGTTCCAGAGACCCCACTACCCACATATACACACCGCCCCCCTTTACGCAGCCCTTCTGCTGCCCTAGCCCCTCAGGCCCAGAGTCCCGTAAGCCCCTCTCCCTTCTCACCTGCAAACACGCCACAGTTCCTTCCCCTAAGTTTAAGGTTCCCACCACGTCCTCGCCAAGTCTGTACACAGATTTGAAGATGCCAAATGTCCCAACTTTTCCTCGGCCATCACTGATATTGTATAGATCTGGGGAAACAGGACGCTGTCAGCCTGCAGTTCACACTGGAGATGGGACGTGGAGCCAGATGCCAAAAGGTGGGGCTCTTCTGTATAATCTAATCTGGGAGAGCTATCAGTGGATCCTCAGAAGCATGTGGCAGTGAGGAGGACTTGCCCCTGAGACAGGAATACCATGAGGGGTGGAGGGGGTGAGACAATTTTGAAAGGATTCTCACGGAGGCTGCGGCAGGATGTGGCCGCCATGAGGCGCTCCCCAGCCAGCTCGGCTAGCCATGTATCCTTCTTCCCACCTTCATCCTCCTCCAAGAATGGACTGGATGGGGCCACAGCCTCATCCTGGGGAAACCGGACATCCTGAAGGCCTAGGAAGAAAATGAGCAGAGAAGTAGTGCTGGGAGGGAACAGAGTGAGAGCAGAAGGTGGGTCTGGACTCCAGCCTGAGAGGGCTGGAGGTAAGGGGAGACATGGCTGGGGCACACATCTACACCTCTTCCCCAGGGCCCTCCCGCTCAGCCCCTGCATACCTCCCCTGAGACCAGGAAGCTCCCCTGCAGCCCCTCTCACAAGCTCTCTAAACCCCACTTCTGCTTTGGTGAGGCTCTTCCTAGCCCTTCCCCCAAGGAACCCTCACTCACCTGTCAGCACCAGGACTCTCAGAGGGACCCTGAGCAAAGTGATGGGTGAGTTGACACGCTGGCAGCCGATGGTCAATTTGTAGACATACTTAACTGACTGGCCTCGGAAGGAGGGCGGTCCCTCTATGGGCAGCACTTCGCTGTAGGAGTCTGGTTGGGAAGCAACAGTCAGGGCGGCGGAGGCAGCAGAGGAGCCCTCCCTCCGGGGATCTCGGGAGGGGTGGGAGACAGTCACTTACATGATTTGGACTCCCCAGGGTCCAGCCTCAGGTCACAGAATAGGATCTTTGGTGGAGTGGAAAGGATACACTGACCCCTCTCACCTAAAAAAGACAAGGACTGCAGTTTAATGATCCCGTTGGCCGGTGCTGGACAAGGCCAGCACATCAGGTGGGGGCAGTAAGCACCGCCAACAAATGACAGCTCACGGTAAGCTATCCCCCTTTTCTTGTTGTGAGATAGCAACTGTCTTACAGCCCCAAAGCAACAGCTGCATCTCCCCTCCCCTCCCCCCGTACCCCCAAGCCACGGAGACTGTAATGTAATGACCCGCTGGAACAAGTTAAAACGTCACCCTTCGGATTATCCCATTCCCACCAAATGCCCCATCTCTCACCTCGGTGTGGTAGAAAGACAGTCTGGCTCTCAGGCTGAACATCTGGCTGATTGGAGTCTGGGGGAGGCAGTGCTACTCGACTCTCGCTGGCATGGAACTGGCAGTGGATCTGGGCGCTGGCCCAGGCCAGAGCCTCGCTATGGGAGGAAGTAAGGGAGGCATCAGCGGGGAGTTCCTGACCTCACCAAAGCTCCCCCAAATGCCCTCCCTACCACACACACTGTCTAGGGACCAACATGGTTAGGTGCTGTCTTAGGGCCGGGAAATCTGGGACCCCAAAAAGAAGCCATTATTCCCAGAAAAAAGAGGGGTGTGGGGAAGGCAGAAGAGGGCGAAGAGGGGATGAATGGTGGCAGAAGGAGACTTGACTTTGGGTAGTGAGCACACTGTACAATATACAGCTGATAGGACAGAACTGCACACTTGAAGCCTATATAATTTTATTAACCAACATATTCAAGAAAAAGAGACCACTAAGTAGAGAAGTGCACTGTGGGTAAAAGGGAGGCGGGAGGACAGAGAGTGAAGGGCCATGTCAGCCCCATGGGTTAAACGGCCTCTGCTACAATGACAGCACAATGAGCAGGAAGGGGGAAGGGGTTGTGTAGCCACAGGACCACCTGGGCTCTGGCTACACCAGCACTGCAGACACCTCTGGGAGAAGGCCACTCACTCCTTCAGCACCAGCACTCCCACCTGGATGCCGAGGTGGCGGTGGGGGGCAGAGGGTTGGTGACGGTCACCACGCACTCCAGCGCCTCCCCCGCCAGAAACACAGGACCTCGGCTCAGCTCTGCCACCACTTCGATCATGTCAGCTCCTGACTCGGACCTGGGAGGGAACAAAGCGGGTCAGAAGCCAGGCCCACGGCGGGGAGGGGTGTCTGCGTGGAGCCTGGGGGTGAGGACGGAAAAGACGGGCGGCCAGCACCCCGGTGTCGGAGGGAAGCGCCTGCCTCTGGGTGCGGGGAGGCGGGCGGGAGGTAGGGAGGGGCCTGCGCTGCCCAGGCGGAGGGGGCCGCTCCGGGCCCCAGCTGCCCTCCCTCCTCTCGGTACCTGGCTAGTCCCCCGTCCCCCCTAAACTCCCAGCCCGGCCTCTGCCCCCTTCCCTCAGGTCTCCACGTCCCGCCCCGACCACGGACACCCGTCATCTGGCGCCGCGGCCCGGGCACCGCGCCAGGTGGACACGGGGGTCCCCGGCGCTCGGAGGCCTCACCTGTCCGCCCCTCCCGGCCCGGCCCCGTGAGTGACGGCGTCCGCGGTGGAGGCGGGACTTCCCTTCGGCCCCCTCCCGGGGCCGAGCCCCTTCCTGCCGGAAGCACCCGGCGGGCCGGACCGGAAGGGGCTCGCGTCCTGCCGCCGCGGGTCACCTTCCCACGGCCCGGCACCTGGGCGCGGGCGCTGTCCATCCCCGGCCGGCGGGACCCGGCGCCCACCCCGGGGGGACCTGGGGCCGCGGCCCGGGTTCGAGGCGGAGGCCGCCGCGCGCGCCCAGGCCGGTCCCGGGGGCGGCGCCTGGCGGACGGCCCCTCCCCTTCCCGCTGGCCCAGTAGTCGCCCTTTGGCCGGGCTAGCTCATCATCGCGGCCCAATGACGACGAGGCCCGACCCTTCCCGCCCAGGCCCCGGAGAGACGACGACGGGGAGCCCCAGGCGGCGGCTTCAGTGCCGTCGCCTCCGCCGCCGCAGCTGCAGCCACAGCCCCCGGGCTCCACGGAGGCACCTGCTCGCCGCCGCTTCTTCCCCCAGCGGCCGACCCTCCGGGACGGCACCGGCACCGGACCCCGATCGGCACCCGCTTCTGCATTTGGTTGGCGAGATACTTTGTATCCGAAGGCGCGGACCCTGGGGCCACCGAGGTCGTGGGGACCCAGGATCCAGGGAGCATGGGAACCGGAGTCCCCGCCTCGGAGCAGACCGGCTGTGCCAAAGGGGACCCACGGGTTTATTGCCCTAAAGACACAGGAGACTCTGAGGCCGTGCAGGTTACTGACTGCGAGAGCCCCGAGGACAGCCCATCCCCAGATGAGCTGGGCTACAGCAATCCGGAGGACCCTGGGCAGCTGATGGCTTCCTACGAGGGGCAAGCTGAGGGCTACCAGGTGCCTTCCTTTGGCTGGCGCATCTGCTTGGCTCACGAGTTTGCTGAGAAGAGGAAACCCTTTAATGCCAATGACATCTCCCTCAGCAACCTGATAAAGCATCTGGGCATGGGCTTGAGGTGAGTAGATCCCACTTCACTTTGTTCCAGCACACAAGACTGCCGGCAGGAGTGGGAAGGGGTGAGAAAGCAGGTCCGTGCCTTGTCCCAATCAAGTGGCCTTTATCCCCAACATATTCTCAGCCTTGGTTTTGAAGAGTAAGACCGGGTCACATCTTGTTGCAACCCTTTACTCCCAGTCACCTGCCTTTAAGTAGGAAAGAGCAGAAACATCTAGGCCTGCGGCCAGCCTTTCCCGTTAAGCTCCCTCTCAGACACTCACTCTTCTCCAAAGGTTGGTCTTCGGAGTTAGCTCTGTGTTGTGGTAGGATAGGAAAGGATAGTGTGCCCGCTGAGTTGCTGACACAATGTTATTTTATTTGGGAGGGGGTGGGTCTCAGAATCCCCTGAGCAGCTGGAGTCGTCTGAGTACCTCACTCAGGCACACCGCATTCCAGTCCAGCAGCCATCACGCTTTAGTTCCCAGGCTGCCTGCTCTCTCAGTCCTGAGAGGGCGATGAGGGGTGCTGTTCGCTCCGCTCTGGTAGGCTGGCCCTCTGATCAGAGAGTCACTGCCATGGTGTCCCCAGAGCTCTTAGGAATAGCCTTCCAGAGCCCGCCCTGGTGTCTCCCGGGCCCCTGCACTCCCTACCAAAGGACTGCAGACACCCGAAGAGCTCACTCTGGCTGTAGAACTCCTCTAGATCCCTCCATTCTCCAACGAATTAAAAAATTAGAGCTGAGAGAATAAGACCTATTAACAGGAACAGGTGGATGTGAGGGCAAAGGCAGGTCATCCTGAGTCATTCTACAGTAAACACAGGGCCATGGAGGGAGTCTTGAGGGCTGTGAAACGCAGCCCTGATATGCTTCCCTACCCTGGCTGGGTTGCTCAATGGTTAGAGTGACGTCCCATTCTCCGAAAGGTCGAGGGTTGAATTCCCAGTCAGGGCCCGTGCATGAGGCAACCAATGGATGTTTCTCTCACATCGATGTGTTGTTGTTTTTTCTCTCTCTCGCCATGCCTTTCTCCATCCCCTATTCCTTCCTCTTTCTCTAGAATCAATGAAAAAATATATCCTCAGGTGAGGATTTTAAAAAATAAATAAATGGATCCTTTCTTTTCCCATTCAGTGCTTTGGGGTTGGGGTGTGGAGTCCATTTACCTAAGCCCAGCCCTGGGTAGTGGGAAGGGTCTGGTGCCCCTCCTTTGCTAGTAACTCAGGGTGGCCAGCACCAGAGAACAGTCATCCCCAGCTCAACGTTTGGGTCAAAACAGAATGTAGACACCATGTTTTATTTGGGAGGGGGGTGGGTCTCAGAGCCCAGGTGCTAAGAGAAGCACTTTGGGGTGCATGTGGTGGGGACATTGAGGTCAAGAACAGATGGTGGCTCAGTTGGTTGGAGCATTATCCTATATACCAAAAGGTTGCAGGTTCAATTCCCGGTCAGGGCACATACTTAGACGGGACACATACGGGAGGCAGCCAATCAATGTTTCTCACATTGATGTTTCTCCCACTCTCTCTCTCTCTCTTTCTCTCTCTTTAAAGATGTTTCTCATCAACGTTTTTATCCCTTTATCTCTCCTTTCCCCTTTCTTTAAAATCAATAAAAACGTATCCTCAGGTGAGGATTTAAAAAAAGAGCCAGGTGGGTATTCTACCCCCGTGTCCCTCTGTGTGAGCTGAATCAGAGGCCGATGCTGTGCTCAGGCCCCTGGACCTTGGCTTCCCAGGTCAGGACAGGGTGCAGGCCACTGACACAGGCTTTGGAATGGGATGAGGTCTTGCCCTGGGGAGAAAGCAGGGGTGAGACAAGGAAGAATTCTGAATGATAATTCTTAAGTTGGGGCTGAAATTATGGAAAAGTCCAAATAGGTCAAGAATGGTCAACTGCCAAATTCAGGGAATGGGAGTAACCTAAGAGAAAGCTGAACTGAGGGTACTCTAATCAGGGGCGCCAGAAAGACAGAGTTCTCTAGGCCTCCGTGTGGTAAGAACTCAGTTTTGATTGCTGTCCCTTCCAGACCGAGTCCATTCATTCTAGTTCTATACTAGATACTCCTTTGTTCTGCTTGTTCTCATATCTCGCATTTCTTCCTCAATGCCCACTGCACTCTCTTTCTCTTCACCAATCCTTTCTGGCCTCTCGTTTCAGAGTCCAGTTTCCTCTAAGTTGTCAGGAAGGATCATCTGCCATCTTCTCATCCTTGGTCTTCCCTCCCTTTCCTCCTGCCCCCCAGAATGTAACTTCCCTATTCTTTAGGCTCATTTCTCCTCCCCTTGCTCCTGTCTGTGTTCCTCTCTTATGCTCCACTGTTTGTACAATCATATGCAAATTCAGCAAATATTTATTGACTGTTGACCATGTGCCCTGCCCTGTGCTTGAAGCAATGGATAACAATCAACTAGTCTTTGTCACTGTCCCTTTCCCCGAGGAACTTAGAAGTATGTCAGACTCACGTGAGGGACACTGAAATAACAAGACAGCATCTGATAGGGAATTGAGATAGTGTATGTACAAGTAATGGTCATACCTGACACAGGTATTCTACTTTATGGCTTTCCTACCTAGTATGTCATTTGCTCATTCCATGAGGTGGGTAGTTTGGTAGGACAGGAGGTATCCTCATTTTGTAGATGAGGAAACAGAGGCTCAGAGGGTTACTTACACAAGTGCCTGGTTGTAAGTGTTGTGCTTGAATAGTGACTATAAAATGGCTGAGCAGGGAGTAGAATTGGGAGAGAGACTTGCAGGACAGGGGTTGCAAGAAAGTAAGATTAGAAGATGGTCTAGGGCAGATGTCATTGAATCCCAAACAGAACCAGTTGCCCATGGGACTCAGAGCTGTGACAAACCCAGGGAAATGTGGAGGTTTCTTTTTTTTTAAGACTTTACTGGGATATTACAAAAGAGCAAAACCACAAAGCTTACAGCTTAGAAATCATAACTGGCCCTTTCAACACCTCGGACAAAAGCTGCCGGGTAAGTAAAGCAGTGGCAGTGGAGTTAGAGGTGAGGAAAGAGCAGAAAGCTCCTGAGGAGACTAGAGAAAAGTAACAAAGACAGTCCCACACTGTAAGCTGGGGACTGGGAAGATGAGGGGACCTTGTTCTGTAGAGAAGCTGAGAGGAGGAGGTTTGGGAGCAAAGGTGTTGGATCCCTAGAACATGTGATGGGAAATCACGGCTGCGTGTCCAGAGAGAGGTAGGTGGCTGCAGCCAGGAAGGCACTGCCCACAGCCCTTCCGTTCACACTGCCTTTTACTCTCAGGTACTTGCAGTGGTGGTACCGGAAGACTCAGGTGGAGAAGAAGAAGCCTTTCATCGACCTCATCAACAGTGTACCCCTGAGACAGATTTATGGTGAGCCCCACCCCAGCTCTGCCCTGTTCAGAGAGGGCGCAGAGTGAGGCAGAGATGTTTCTACTTAGGCAAGCTTTACTGTCCCATATCTTAGAGGCTTCCCCCCAACCCCCAGCTTTATTGATATAACTGACATGTAACATTGTATAAGTTAAAGTATACGTGTTGATTTCATGTTCCCATGGTTTTTAGAGGAACCCATCTTCATAGTCTAGAAAGTGAGAAATGGCTTGTTTCCCTCTACTC